TCCCTATCGGCGAAATCAAGTAAAAACCTGTCTGCTTTGGTGAACCGAATCCTAGTCAATTAGAAATCGGAAAGAATACCACGAATTCCCGGAAGCCCGTTTTAGGGTCTGTACTCAGAATGTAGGCTGGTGGCAAACCACCATACTTGACGTTACACTAATTCTTAAAGGATATTTAAATGTGAATTTTGCTGAAGGACTAGGATCAAAAGTTTTCCTATTCATACTGTCATATTTACTCAGTTGTTGTGCATAGAAAGTATTGCTGTACATCTCAAACTGACCTTTACACAATTGCAATCATTTTTAACGAAACTTTCGGTTTACCGAAAAAATGTTATTTCTAGACAATGGAATATTGCCATTAATATGTATTAATGCTTCCAATTCCCTTCAAGTGGTCCTTTACTAATGCAGATATTAGGTCCATATATTGTGTCGGCTTGGGAATGATTAGCAATTCTTCGTAAATTTCGACACTTTTCATCAGTTGGGTCACCTATTGTGTTTTGCGGACTTGAGAATTAATTGAACTAACAAAGTAATTCGTTCAGTGACCAAATGTGGAGAGTAGCTTGCAGCCTTACAAAGAACCACGCAGCAGATACATTTCTCGAAATAATCCATGAATAGCATGCTTCGCCATCATGGCGCGCTTTCGATAACAAACCTGGATCAAAGTACAGTACGCGTTCCTTAAATGCGCAAATGAATCCGTCCTGTATATTTATATATGTATAGATAAACACACATACGACTCGTTGCGTATTTGCATGTAAAATGTGTTAAACACTCCTCAACACACATTCGTTTGCCAGGAAGTTGTCACAAAATGCCTATGCTGCCGACAGAAATCAGGCAAATATACGACAAATAGAAAACATTCTTTTCTGTTAAACCCTCACTTTTTACCTTCTTTGTGGGCATTGATAAGACTGGAAGAGAATACATTGAAACCCGTTGGTGAAAGGAGAAAATGTCGTGTGCATTAAGATTGTGGCGACAGGTTATGCTAAAATATTTGCATTTCGTCTGCGAATAACAAACAGCTAAACACTGGGAGGATTTTCTTAAAAATGAGAATTCTACCAACTGTCCAGTCATACGGAATGTTCCTGAGTTCCTGAAGCAGAGGATATCAAAGCGACTGCCTGAGAAGTACAGCAAGTGACCAATCTCATGAAATTTCGACCGAAATTGTGAAATGGGTTTTGGACTAGAAAGGATTTCTTTGATAGGGTTGTAATATGGATTATCATGCGGCATAATCGTATAGTACTTCGGACTCGCTAGCATTCCAGCTTTTGAATGCATTTCAATTCTACCTTCGGCAAAAAACCACATTCGATAAAAATTAAATACTTAATTAGCATGCATTTTTCACACTTATTTTCGATGATCTTATAAAGGTAAACATATTTTATAGGAAACATGTACAAAATATGCTTCCTTTTACTCGTTTGGTAGAATATCACATTATCTCCATAGTTTCTACCTTAAGAAAGGTTATATTTCGGTTTTTAAAAAAGTCTCTATAAGATTTTTAAGATCGTGTGATGTCTATACATGCATGTCGGTCTATCAATGTCCCTTATGCAATGCCCAACACAGCCCGTATCCACTACAGGATTTTATGTAATATAGCACTGTTGAGCTGCATGCCTACTATATCGATCGGATCAAACTGATCCCGTTTTGTGGCTCCTGGCATTTGTCCCTCGTTCTCTGCCATTGCTATCCGGTTGCCTATTTTAGGAGCGCAGAATTTCCAACGAGGAAATAAAACATAAATCAGCAGCACGTCTTTTTATCTATTCGGGTGGGCGCATTACGCGGGGGAGGAAGTTTTTATGCTCACACCAGCGCTATCGAGTCCTGAAAAGTATTACTGCTAGAGGCGGAGGACAATGGCTGCACGGCATGCAGACTGACGTATGTAGGTGTTCTGAATTCAAAGCAAGAACCAGCATGATCTAGTGCAAATATGCATCCCAGGCACGATGTAAACGCAGTAATTGCACTGTTGGTATTTGCAAAAAATCGTAATCGGTCGCGCATGCGAATAAGTATTCCCATATCATGGGTGACTCTGCACTAAATCCCAGGGGGATTAGGGGTGGGGGAGATAAGGTTTGCGATGGTAAGTCTCAAACTTAACGTTAGAAGGATTAATGGCGGTGTCTCGATCAGAGTTTGGACGCGGGAGTAGGTACTCCCTAGAATGTTATTACCGACAAAGTCAAGGAAGACTGGAATGGCCATTTCTGGCTTGGTAGTCGTCGCCAGCCAGTCATGCGCCGCTGTGCGGCTGCTGGTTGGGCTCGAGAGAGAACCCGTAAGGTACAACGGGACGAGTGAGTTCCTTAACAACGATCGGTGAGCGCCACTCCATTATTTTACATTCCCGATCGAAATCAACAGGACAGCGAACCCATGGCTCAGAGGTTGGGGACGTTGAACATCTAGCAGGTCGTGGGATCGAGCCCAGGTTTTTCACATTTCCGGGTCCGGACGCGGGAATAAGTACTCCCTTAAGTTGTCTGCAAGGCTATCTTTAGTAGTATGAGGTCCCTTTCGCGGGGTCTAACCTCTTAGTCGTGTGTGAAGCTGTCGTTTGCCATTCCAGGAAATAAAAAGTGAGGGAAATGCCACAGTGCGAAACACTACTGTAGCCTATAACTGCCGAATAAAAGAAGGCAACTGAGAGACCGTATGTTTCCTCCCTTGAGCTGAGATTGAGACAGTGCATCGTCAAACCCCAGCATCCTCATATCAGCCGACCACCGAAGTGATCGGGCAGGCTTCATGTGATTACCGTATCAGCCCAACAATCATGCTCTGCGAAACTAAAACCGCCCAAATTTCAAGTAGATAAGAGCTACCTCTGGGTTGTCTCTTCTCTCGTTTGCATACTGTGAAAGTGGACGAAGTGTCTTACGTGCGACGGCATAAAGTCGGAATGTATGAAGACTAGGAAACGCGAATCGGTACAGGCTCCGGAATTTCCAACTGCCAGGGGGTTTCCAGTTCATTCTGGGGAGAGGGGGGCATCTGGAAGTCATCGAGTCGTTGATGCATTCGATATCCCACAAACAGTACACTCAAGCGTTAAGTCCAGGGATCCAGGGACGTGAACCCATTTGAGCAATCTAAGATGCCTGGGCCAACATTAATGGGCGTCTGTTATTTGGTCCTGACACGTGATCGCCTTCCCGAAGACACCCATCCTCCGTGTTCCATTCACTCTTTACTGCCGTCCAAAACTGGCGGATGCTGCACTCAGTGGATGCTGTTCATCCGGTTCACAATGCGCTAAAGCCTTTCAAGCTATTTGGGTGATTGGGTCAATGGTTCGCGATGCATAAATGCTCCCCGCTATAAGCTGGCGCGAAAAAGAAGTTGCGGTGAGAATAAATGGCCGCTGGCGGGACGAAAAAATCGCCTGTATTTAGATGTCACTTTGGTATAAGTATTAAATCAATCGCGGCCTACGTAACAGCGAATCCCGCTGTCATGTTAATGAGGGAGCGAGTCGAACAAATGCAGTATGGGCTACTTTGGAAAGCCGTTAATTCAGCCTCGTCTACGTGAATTGCAATACGATTGAATTCGTGCATGCATTTGATTCATGCGAAAGGCAGCCTTCTCGCATTTAATGATGTTTCAACTCAGCAACTGGTTACTTTGCACCCGACCCTGCCATCTGGTATCCCTAGGCATGTCATCCCAGCCCTCCCGATCTGATTTTGGTGTGTGGACTGTGACGGCTTCCAAACAAGGCTCCGACCATGATCGTTATGTTTATTGCGAAACGCTAAACAATCATAAATATGCAGAAATTCCGCGTAATTTCTGACTTGATGCAGACGAAAAGCCATTTTTTACCACACGGCAAATCGGTTAGGCATTCTTATTGCTTATTTCAAACCAGCCATCGCCCAACAACTAACCCTGTTGATGGTTGAGGGCAACGTCCGCGTTCGCGCCTCAAATAATTCAGGGGTTAGCATAAGGGCATATGAGACTAGCCCAATCACCTGGAGTTACAACGGCGATCAGTTGACTCGGGGCCCCTTCTATGCCAGTGTCCTTCCGTTTTTGTTTCTCTTCCTGGAATGCTTCTTCCTTCCGCAGTCCACCTTACTACCATACCACGCGCGCTACTGCAGCCCTTGGTGTGACTGTTTTCATCGGCAGCTGGCATAAGTAGTATGTAGTATATACTGGGTGGTAGGCAATGCAGAATGTCCATAACAAGTCACACCTCATTTGTCTACAGGATATGTGGGAACACAGTGTGGAGCTACCGGTTGAAAATGCGCAAAGGAGCTATCGAAATCGTCTTAAGCAAAAAGGGGGCAATTCAGCAGGCCTGTGAAGGCCACAGCGTAGCTAGCAACGGCCAACCGACGTCCCATTATAAATGCTACGTGAAACGTCCAAATACCGAAGCAGACTAATCGGTGGGACTTAAGGCAAGACTACAGTGGCGAGAGTTTCTGCTAAATGGCAGTTAGTAATCACCATGTTACGGTGCCACCATCGGTCTATGAGATGGTTTCCGGAACCGCTGATGTGCCACACCTCAACCCCTTCGTCCCCTTGTTACACTGTATCCATTGGTCAGTGTTTGCTTATGTACCGGACGTTCAGAACCGCCTACTCCACAGCTGACGTAAGCTGCAGACTGTCCTAACATTCCCCGTCTGCAGACGTGCCGGTAGCTAACAGCTAGGCCATTGGGAAACTCCTCCCCTCATGTATCCAACACAGGCAACCTCGGTACTTATTTTTAAGACATGGGTCTCAAATTCAAAAAATAACGTCTACTCAATTGAAACTAGTAGGATTTCACATAAGCACTATGGTTTCAGTCCGAAAGGCCACCAAGTGGAGGAGGAAAGAGCACACATACTATTTTTACTGTAAAGAACGCAGTAACAAAATAAACTTAAAGATCTCTGGTTAAGTGACGGTGTGTGAGCTGAACTGTGAAAGACCTAATTGTTCCTATCAAAGAGTACAGCGAAGGTAAGACGGTAAATAGCCACTAGGCAATCTAAGGAGAGGCAACAGACTGGAGCATCGGGGTGGGCAGCCAACTGGAATAGCGGCCGCAATGAGAAGGCAGAACTGAGGTGGGAGTTGGAGAACTTGTTCTCCGACAAGGGTGCGGGGTCATGGGTGCAGATCTCCAGGGCAAGAAAGGTTCGAACGCTGACGTTGGTCACGCGATCGACCAAGTGGATACCTCGTATTTCCTCAGGGGTAATTAGTGGCAGGTGTTTGCGCCGGCCTGAAAGGTAACGGCAAGCACACTGAACGCCTAGTGAACGCGACGCCAAGAGGGAGACTGTCAATTTGGGAAAAAAATATGGCGACATGAGTAAACATGTAAAAAAAAGCGGAATAGTAATAGAGAAGGTCTGACAAAGGAAACTGAACTACCTTCTGAGACAGAGGACCAGGCCCACAGCCAAACGATCGCCACCGAGAGAAGTACTATAAGTGGAGGAGATTTTGCAAACTACAATTAACAAAATAAATTGGGTTTAGAAAGAATTCGGCTTCATTCCCTATGCACACACAGAGAAATAAGAAACGCTGCAAAGACTTCAAATGTGTGCATGTAAGATCAATAACACAATCCGGTGAAACACGTAGAGCAAGCCTAAGTGGTACACGGGGAAGAACGTAATCAAAAATACCTACTCAAGTAAATGCAGTAGCCAGTATTGTGTACTATTACGGTTAAAACGGAATCAGCCCATCGGACGGTGAAATACTCGCCCTCTTAGGCATCTGTTCGTTGCAAACGACGAAGAATCTTGACTAGGTCCGGGAGCACACACACACACACACACACATTGAAACGCCAACGATGTCGAAACGGCTGGAGCTTCCAACCGAAATCTACTAGGACCGTTCTAGGGTTATTTCGCAGAGGTCATGTGAGGAAATTTGTCCCACAAAACTGCAGCATGGGCGTTCTGCTGCCTTTCGCGAGGGAGGAACACGGGGTGAACCCCGTAGCTACAAACAGTAGGTGGGATAACTCATGAAATGTCAGCCGAAATTCCGAAATGCGTTTTCGTTTCAAAAAGATTAATGAAGTAGGGTTGTAAAACTAATAATCGTACAGTATAGTTCTATAATGATTCAGTTACCTCAAGATGTCGGCCTTCGAACTAACTTCTTTCCGGCTGCATGCGAAAAAGCATACTCTGTAAAAAACGATAGCTTAATTAACATTCATTTTTCTAATTGATTTTCGATACCCTTAAAAAATCAGTTATATTTCATGGAGGGCATACATTAAAATATTCATTCTTTTGCTCATTCGGTAGAAAATTACGTCTTCTTAAAATTTTATACTTCGACAAGGGTATAATTCGGTTGTCAAATTTCTTACCAGTTCCCGAATAATTTCGAACCCGATCTGCTGTTATACTTGCATTCAGGGTTTCCAAACTCCAAGCCATGTGTTTTCCGCGTACGGAATACCATACATTTTTCCAAGGTATTAAGAGTAGATCATATGGGGTTCATTAAATTTGGCAGCGGATTAGAGCCATTATGTTAACATTACAAGCAATATTAGTAAATGCAGAGACCCGATGACTTGTGAACGGACATTTTACGGTATTAAAAAATCTCACGATTGGACGCTTTTTTACAACCGAATTAAACTCTTCCTTGGAGTATAAAATTGGCAGAAGACGTAATTTTCTACCGAATGAACAAAAGAATGAGTATTGTTATGCATGTTTTCCATGAAATATAATTGAATCTTTAAGGTCATCTAAAATCAGTGAGAAAAATGCATGCTACATACGTAGTCATTTTTTACAGAGTATAGTTTTTGCATGCAGCCGGAAAGAAGTTCGTTTGAAGGCCGGCATCCTCAGGTATATAGAACTATACTGTACGATGATTAGTTTTCCAACGCTATTTAACCAATCTTTTCGAAACGAGAACGCATTTCGGAGTTTCGGTTGACATTTCAAGAGTTAGCCCATCTATTGTAAATAGTAGACTGGCAAAAGCCATCACCAACATCTCGGCTGGCATTAGCCTGAACCGGTTTCGGCTGGCTACCTAACGCACCCACCAATGGTGGACAGTGGAGGGACATTTGGCAAAGATTGGCTGCCGGCTATGGTGAATAAGCAGTCGCAGACTAGCATCGACAACGCTACCAGGGCTCTCTCCTTGTAAAAATAGGCCGACTCTCGGGTCTGGCAAATGCTACGAGAACGCGGGAGGCTGAGATCTGGCACGCCGACTGCCTTACAGGATGCCACAAAGCCCGATGACGGCACTGCAACACGGCAGCCGTGAAGTGTCATTAAATAAATTTGCCTGTGGCCGCTGTCTTGTGGTAAGGCTCTTGAGCCGAGGCCCCATATAGGGGACAGCCTCGAACAAATAATTTCCAACAAACCGCATGAAAATATGTTCGAATAAAGTATCATGATCCATGTGCTGCGGCGTCTGCGGGAGCTGACGCGACATCTTCACCGCCACGGTGATCCATGCGTATCGTGTATCCATCCAGTCAGTCCTCCTCCACGGGAGGACAGTTGTCAAAAACCTAGGGCCGCCTTACTACGCTCAGCTTTCATACGTCCCACGATGGCTGAGTCATATAACTGATCCAAACGAGATCTAAGAAACTTCAAAAACAACCTGTAAACTGAAACAAACATGTGCCGGTGGAGCATCTGTAACTGCTGCGCGTGAACAACAAGTCGTGTCAGACAGTAAACAGCAAGCTGCATAAGTGGTCTGAACACTTACAGAGAGCCATCTGGAGAGTGAGAAGGCGAGAATTTGGGCACAGACAAGGCATAAAACCAGACCACGTAGACGCAAAGGACGCCTTATCTTAACCTCCATCCACGTTGGCGCACTTTTCGCCGACGGATCTGTCATGATCTCGGCGGGGTCACCTATCGGATCACACCGGAGATAGGGAAGGATGAACTGTACATCACAGCCGCAACTGCTGCTCAGGGAAAAGCTGTATGTGCCCTAAAGGTAAACGAAATTCAACTGATGAAGCGTGCGATTAATGGCTAAACATCATGCTCAAAAAGCGAAGTTCTTAGAGGGAGATTTTTAAAAGTCATAAAGGTATTCAGAATTCCCTGAATTCCTGAGGTAACATCCTACCGACCACGGAACTTGGCCAACCTCTGTGGAAGTATATTAAACCGAGGAAGGTATAGAGAATTGGTCGGGATCATTGCCAAGGATCTGCACTTTTTGGAAAGTAAGAAAGAAAACATGCCCGGATTGTTCCTATTTCTCCAGTCAGTTTTTCTCCAAATTAAAGATGTGGAAAATCTCGCAGCTAGGTAGTTAGAAAACCACGGGAACAGTTCTGTACGACCAAAGAATATAATATGTTGCCTCGCTAACTGACTGCCGGAGATTAGAAAGGACAAAAGACTTAGCAGATAACTACAAAACAGCGGATTCACAGTTGCGCCATTCAACATGGTCAAGGCCGACGTATAAATGATCCTTAGGCCGATTGTCTTGCACTGGCCTGCAATAGCACTTCCGCGTACTCCACGCGGCCTCGTGGAAGTGGTCTTAAGGCAGTCATTACTTCGCTAGCAACTTCTCATAGATAACAAAGATGTGCCTTCCAGGATGAACCTGCGCGAGGTCTATGCAGTTTGCTGGGGGCCTCATCTTCCCCTGTCAATGTGTACTCTCGCTTGACCAGCGTCATATCTCGTCGGTTGTACTTCTCGCCATCTAAAATGCGCATTCATTAGCGCGGGTGACGATTATTTCTCCCCGTTTAATTGATATACAGTCAGACCCCCAGTCTGTCGGGCAAAACATGAACTTGGTCGACTGTAAAACCCTGGTAGCAATTCCACGTTTCTTTCCCTCTGTTTTTGCTTGGTTTGTTTCCTTCGTTAATTTGTGCCATCTGTTACGCCCGCATGTGGCCTGCTTCCAGTAACCGTCTCTCACGCACACAAGTGCATAGACAGGATCCTCCTGAATCCTTTTTCCCGCTTTGTCCGATCCCCTCGGAACTCTAAGGATCAAAGACTTGAATCGCAACACTAGACGTTACCTACGCTGCCTACTCCTTAGCCTCCTTGACGAGTGAGCCTGTCCTATATCGATCCGTCCACACGAGACATGTCTCAACATCCGTCCCTCCGACATGTGGACTGGCTTTACGTATACTAACACCAAGAAAGTCGTGGAACTGCCCCGAGACTCGGGTGTCTACCTCAACGATCACCACACACTTGTCCACATGGCATGCCTGGGATCGGATTTCTACCGGTCCGCCTGCGGATTCCACTCGTAGGCGCCTGCGGCGACCTCAGATATAGCGGACCCCGTGTAGCGGATCCACGCACCAAGCATGATAGCCTCCCAATGCAGTCGAGTGACATTAGGCCTGACGGTCTATTTGCCCTGACTCGCATGCAAGTCCCAAGGACCGCATAGTCAGATACGCGGTCGAGGAGGGAGCTTTCATTCCGCCAATCTTAAGTTAGCCCTCACCATGTCATCGCCAGTCAGGGCCGTGGTCGGGCGAGAGGCGTTCCAGACGATTTCGCCTTCATTTCTCGGTAGCACATGGCTGCAACACCTAGAGGTGAGTAAGGATAACGCGGTAGACAGGTTGAGTTACCAATTGGCTGTGTAGACGCAGTCAGGTAGAGTTCCGGGGAGTAAAGCGTAAACGCCGGCGACCGAGTAGTTACGGGACGATCCCACAGGCTTCGATAAAGTCAATCACCTCTGCTTTGCTCGGATGGCGGGAAATTCGGCCCAAGGTAGTTGGTGTAAACTACTCCAATGGTTTCATCATCTACAGCAGATTAACAGATATATTTCATTGAAATATCCGTGTGGTCATTTCCGTCCTTGAGGAGTTTACTTTACATCTCCTGTAGACCTTCTCTGCGTCCATCTGCAATATAGCACACTAAATTCCCGTAGTGGGACTCGCTGGCACCGGAACTTTGCAATCTTTAATGGACGAAACGCCCTCTACTGAGACATATGAGTGGTCTGTCAGCGCGCAATGAATAAACCAATGCATTAGATGAATGAACCGAGCTGGTGAGATGACTAACGCCGGAGTTAATATCAAATAAGTCACTCTCCATCACACGCATGGACCATAATTCGTGGTAGAACAGTAGGAGTGAAGCAATCGAAGCAACTTCGGCAGCGTGCCACCATTCAGCATGACCGACCACAAGGAATCCGGGCAGGAAAAGTCGAAAGAAACGGTTCATCTCCTCACCGGAACCCCGTCAACATGGTAAGCTGTATTAATCAGTCCTAGTCCGCTCCACTTATCAGACTATACTTGGATTATTTCTACCCTCTTACGTCCGACTGTTTTCTGGATTTTCGAAAATACTCATTTTGCAAGAGGAATGATTGCTTCCCACAACTCGTCATCAAACAGGATCAGGTACATGCACAGACAACTTGTCGGAGTATGTTTGGCCAATATTCGCATCATCTGGGCAAAGAAAACTCGGATCACCTACCGATGGCAACGGGTAATCAACCTTATTCCCATTCGCACCTCATTTAAGACATGAGCTTTATGCGCCTGGAAACTGCATCTCTTGTGTACGTATCATGTACCTGACGTAACACTGAAATTGCACAACGAACCATTAAATCTGATCCATTTAAGTACTGGGTTTCAAAGACTGTGCTCTTACCACAGATCATGACCGGAAGAAAGGATCACATCATAGAATGCAAGACACAGTGATTCTCTCGATGCACACTTTTCGCAGCAGGAAACGATCACTCCAATTGCAATTTTGGGGACGCTGTGCGATATTTCCTAAGGTCATAACGTAATGGCCACGGGAAACAAACTATGGTATGCTACGCATTGATAATGGTCCTAGGCTGCAGTTCATATGTTAACGCGATATGACCACGCAGAAAGTAACTCTTGTCTATGGTCGCGAACTAGCAGAGAGCTTTCCCACCATCATGTTGGCAAAAGGTTGCATGTTTTATGTAAGTAAAACCAATCTCATAAGGAGCTACTGGAGGTAGAGTTGAACTCAGCAAACAAGGTGGCCGAGCTCAAGCGTAAAAACCTCTGGAACAGGGTCTGCGGCATGACTGGCTGGCTGGGAAGTGCAGCCGCTCCAGAAACGGTCATTGCACTCGCTCGTCTTGGTTACTATCACAGCTCAATTCAGTGACTGTACGACGTTTGTCCTCTTTATTCCTATACTAATCATAGTAATTGACGAGGAGAGACGATGACTTGGTTAGATCTTCTTGGCTTGAATGTTTAGGAGCGAATATCTCCTCATATTTCCATAGGGTTGTGGACGCACAAAAATACCGGTCAGGAGGGTAGTATTTGTAATCAAAACGGACTATAAACTAGCTAAATGCAGAAGTCGCAAGTAGACATGAGTGATATGCAAGCCAGGTTTGTCCGTAAGAAACGGGGGAAACATAGACAAAAGGTGGTAGACACGGACAAAGACCGATACCGGTAAACGTGGGCTGCAAAGGCAGAGATCGCAAAAAGGTAGGTTATTGTCAATAAGGCTAAAATAACAATAAACAGGTCAGATTATTTTGTGAAAATGTTAGGTGAAACATGGAGTGTCACTGAAAGGCTTCAATGGAGGGGTAAGTTAGTCAACTCAACTATCCAATATGCCGCAAAAAACATTCGAGTGACGGGGACCGTTGTTCTGGAAAGAATTATATCCGTGTCTAGCGTCTCTGAAACAGACCCATCGTTGTATGACTGGAATCAATGTTCGTTGACCAAATACTGCTTCTTTCCCATAGTTACATTCACCGGATTAGTGTCAATCGACGCGAAAGATGAGATAATGCATTCGGATGATCCCGTACCTCCAAAACGGCACTTCTGTCTCCTTCAACCACATTTATATGAACGAGTTTGATATTTTCATCCAACCAACTTTATTTGTGGGTCATCCAGATGCAATATTTCCTCGTCACAACTCGACCAACTCGTGTTTTCTCTCTTTCATTAAAACTGTACGAAATAAAACCCGAACGACTTGGAAACTATAGCTTGTAAAAAAATTCAACTTAGTCTACTGTGAGTGTGCACCGACAAATGGCAACTCGTTGGCCCACAAGGGGGCAATCGCTTATTCGTTGGACCTGCAAATTGTAATGAACCGTAACCTCACGCGAGCGCTACTATCAGCTATGGGATTGGTGTTGTTGGACCAACTTTGACTATGCATAGTGGTGAGTTAAAACGTAGTGTCTTGTTTGTTATAATTTAGGTTTCTTATAAAATTACTGAACATAAGAAATAGGCAATAAGTACAAATAAAGTGGAATGATGATGACTAACGCTTGCTCTGTTTTCTTTCCACAATGCCACTCGACCAATCACAACGCCGGATTCGAATCTTTGGACTACTGCAACGCCTGAGGCCCTATAAATACCCCAGAAGGCTAACGAATTAGCCGAAGTAGGACGCTCGAGCTCTGGCTTTCTGTTGTCTGTCAGCTTTGCTGTTAAGCAGGGACTCCTGCGGCCCTATCTGTGTACATTAGGCCAGTAGCGAGGACTGTAGTAGGTTCAGTTTAATACACGTCTCATTATTTCTTTATAAATTGCCTTAATTCTCCTTGGGGTTCGCCCTCAATCGGATCGGACACGTTACAAAATTACATAACTGGAGATCACCACCCGGTACCAAACCCCCTGGGCACAACCAATAAAACCGACAAACCAGATAACGTGATTGAATAGTATCAGCATCGGTATATTATAGGGAA